GAGAAAAATTTTTTCCCCCCCCCCCCCCCCCCCCTTTAAAAATTGAGTTTTCCAACATTTTATTACAACAAAATAGTTTAACTGATGTAGAGTCAAAACATGTCTCACGGGTAAAATCACATTTAGTTTCTTTGAAACAACTTACCTCATTTGTTGTAACCTTTGGCTAACATTTTCATAATCAATACATTGCATTGCCGTTATTGTACAGTTCTGTGTATGTTGTAAAACTCACCATGTTATATAAGGTGTTGACTTCCCTTTCTCCCAGCGTATCAGGATGGTGAGGCCCGTGGCTGAAGCAGTCCTGTCAAGCAGTTGAGAAATCCATGAATGTCGATTTTCTCTTAAGTGTCAGTAAAACGGTATCAGTTACTGACTTTCACATGTGGTTGAAGATAAATTCCAGTATAGAAGGGCTTAAAAAAGTAAAGAGAGGGGCATTCCTCAGCAGAGACTGATGTTAGGTGCAGGTGTATTTGATAGATTGTTAAAATCAGGCAAAAAAAATTCTTAACTTTCAATTTTATTTCCTCTCAGGAATTCAAAGTGGACAAGAAGGTGATCAAGGTAAAGAGGGACACCTTCCTCAGCATAGTGGGAGGAGTGCGAGACGGGGACACATTCAACATGCCCACCAAAGGAACAAGCATGGAGAGTTTTCGCCTCATGGTCAGTTCATTAGTAGTCAGCAGACTGGGCGGTGATGACCATCTGGAGTTAGTGACCAGAATACTGGACAGGGCAGATGTTAATATGGATGGGAAGGTATATGGAATTAAGCTGAATCATTAGTGAATAGATACATGAAGGGAAGAGTCATAGAAAAATTCATACTTAATGAGAAGAGATCTCTCACTGCCTGGTGGACATGATTCTTGTACAAACTTGTGGTTAGGGAAGTAGTGATATGTTACATGGTTATAAGTGTCTGCCAGTTTTGTTTTCTTATGCTTGGTGTTTACATACAGACATTGTAAATGACTTTTGTCCATTTTAGCATGTATTTTGATAATATTCACCCCATGTGTGAAAAACATTAATTTTGTTTTACTACAAATATACTTAAGGGTTTATTAAGTGAAAATGTGTGTTTCTTTCAGAATCAACATGATTTTTTTTATTTTTTTATTTTTTAAGAAAAGTGATTGGTGTTTGGTTTTTGTTGTAGGTATTGTGTATGGCAAAGTTTGCCACATAAATGCCAGTATTTTTGTTTCACTTTAATTTTACTGAATCAGTAGCACTGACTAAAATACTGCCTCCTTTTCAGGTGTCACTTGCAGAAGCCAAAAGTATATGGAGTCTTCTACAGAACAGCGATTTCTTCATTTCCTTCATTTTTCAAAACACAGAATTTGTGCCCAAAATCCAGAAATTCTGTGGCAATATATTTGCTGTAGAAGAAGTTCCCCACACATATTTATATGACAAGGATAACCCATCATATCTGAGGTGGATATTTGCTAACTCATATCAGTGGCTACAACCAAGCTGGCACCATCGGGCAAAAATTGTTGTTGGTCTATTGGAGTTCATAATGGCAGTATACCAGTATAGAAATGCAGGGGAGTTTTATATCTGCCATTTAGATGAGTCAGTTGTGGGATACACACGTCGCTATGACATGAGATTTTTAGGAGTGTCCCAGTTGCTTCCAAAGCAGACATTTATGAAGGTGATGCAGCTTCGCCAGTGTTTTTCAGACGAGGACTGTTTTTACTCAAAAACCTGCAGCTCAAAATGTGACATTTCACAGCACACTTGCTCAGGGAGTCTCATCAAACCTAATCTTTTTCATGCCTGTCAGTTACTCAGAGAATATCTGTTGTATGACTTAGTGGGTGGCGAGAGAGTGGAGCTCTCAGGGATGCTGCGCACGTGTCGGGCTCTTGACAACAATAAGACGTCTGCTGACTTAGATCATGCAGTGGTACTCAATAATATGAAAACATGGCTGTGGAACAAAATACAGAACAAAGTTTCTTGATATTTTGTGGTGCTGATTATTCTCTGTGAGGACTTTTTTTTTTTAGAATTTTAGGTGATTTTCTAGTCACTGTTTATTGTCTTCCAGTTTTGTTTCTTTTTATGATTTTTTAAAATCAAAGACATTTAAAGAAATTAATTTTAAACTTTACCTACACATCTTATAGTTTGATTATTGTAGTGACGCAAACAATTTTTGATTGTGATAAACTAATCATAAATTTGTGCCATAGTGATGACATATCTCAGTAAACATGCTGATTTGCATGATTATCTATATTCATGTAAATAAAAGGAAGAGGGTCTATTTTTTAAACTTGTAGACTTCTGAATAACAACTGAGAACCACTGAAAACCAAATGTGAGAAACAGTTATTGCCAATCGTATGACCAAAATCACTTATCTCTTTCCTCATTCAAAATTGAGATCTCTGTGTGATCTACATACGGACAGCTCATATCTCTATTTTTTCGGAGTCCATATGTTGTTTTATTTTATCAAGGCCCATTGAAAAAGGGTCAAAGTGCCATGCCTGGTAGGCAGAAATGTGTGTATAGTCTCTCTTTAAGTGCTTAGATATTTACTTTTTATCATCATTATTAATATACTATACTATACTTGTAAGGAAGGCCGCAAATAAGTCAGCATTAAAGTTTTTTTTTCTATCCAGGGGATTGTGAGATTTATTTAAGATTGTATATTTGTGACAATCACGGCTAGATCCAGCATTAATATTATGATATTAATTGTGTTGTGTGTGTTTTTTATTTTTATTTTATTTATTTTTTTTATTCCCCTTTGTCCAACTGGGTTAGATATGCTGAGCATTTTGCAATACTTTTTTGGTCCTTAGATAACTCATGAATACAAATGCAGGGTAAATGAACTTTTTATTTACAAATCAGACTGGTGTAGACTTATTAATTGATTCTGTTGATGTTGCTTATTATGGAAACGAATGCCTTTGATAGCAGTGTATTGAATGGCACTCAGTTTTGCTGCTGGTCCCTTTTTTTTTTT